TCGGGAGGGCTGGGCCTTGACTTACGAGACTTGGCTTGGCATTGGATGGTGCCCCCCGACATTGGACGCGCAAGGTGTTTCGCAGTTTGGTATTGCCTGACCTGCCGGTGAGAGGGCATGCCATCGTAGGTGTTGTTGATGTTGTTTCTGAGCACGGTCTTCCGCAGTTCACGTTGCACGCTCGAAAGGTTCGAGCCATTCGACGGTGACTCCAACATCTCTACAGGTTTGCCATTTGAGTTGGCCAATCAGGTGTTGGTATTTGGGGAAAGCGATATTTCACGCTTCACTTGATGAGACCTTCTCATCCTCATACTCGCCTAGCCACCTTGCGGGAACGCCAATCTGCTTGATCCTGGTAAACACAGGCCGTATGTTTCGATGCTCTCTGGTTCAGGCTGCCGTTCGGGAGGGCTGGACTTACGGGTATTTTTTAACTTCGGGCAACGTAGCGCTTTTGTTCGCCTTGCCAAGCCTTTTGACCAGAAGGCGGTTCGTCTGCTGATGTGAATGAGGTGTTGTCAAGATCGTCTCGGGGCACGGCCTTCCACACTCCACATGACGATACCTACATATTCTCATAAAATCCGAGCCACTCTTACGACAGGCAGTTTGTCTGGGGTGGGAGGGGTTGGGGATGGGGTCAGGCTTGCACTGTGGGACCTGGCTCACTGGGCTGACTTCTCCAACGACTCCATGGCATGTATCCGATTGCCCCGTGCATCAGAAGGAGGCGGAGAAGCAGACGGAGGAGGAGGAGGATGAGGAGGACCAACCCAAGTCGCAGTAACGATGTTGGAACACACCCTCCCTCCAAGTTCCCTCTCATAAGCCCCTACAACCATGTATGTTATTGCGGGAGGTTGCCCACTAGAAGGCAATCGTTTGAGAATTCCCCATCGTGCCAAAACAAATTTCCTGGGACTTCATCGCCGCAGACCACTGTGACCGTTGCGTCCTGGCAGTCCTAAGTCGTGCCAGAACAGCACTCCTGGGATTCCAGCGCAGAAAAGCAATGTGACTGATGCTTCCTGAAACACCCCAGATGGTGCCATAATGCCATTCCAGGGAGATCAACCATACGAATCCATTAAGCTGTTGCAACCTTTGAAAACGAATGTGCCCAGCGCTAAGGCGAGAGCCGCATTTTGAAGAAGAGCCGCCCTTCACCCTTGACACAGTTACAAACTTTAAGATGTATGATCGTGGCGCTAATGCGAAAGCTACACTTTGAAAGGGAGCCGCCCTCAACCCATGACACGCATGCAGGTTGTCAAACGAAATGTGCGACGCTAAGGCGAGGGCCATATTTTGAAGCAGACCCGCCCTCCATCCGTGAACGTCTTGCAATGTTTTAAACGAGTATGCGCGGCGCTACTGCGAGAATCGCATTTGGAAAACGATCCGTCCTCCATCCGTGAAGCTTGTGCAGATTTCAAGCTGCAGGATCATCAATGGTGCGGACGTCTCATTCGAAACGCTCGGCCTGCTCTACCGACACATTAGCGGGCGCGACGGAGGAGGAGGGGGAGGAGA